CGGCAGCTCGGGTGAGGGCAACTGCACAGGTGCAGCTGGTACAGTTGCAGCTGCTGCAGCTGGTGCAGCCGCAGCCGGTGCAGCTGGTGCAGCTGGTGCCTGCTGGCTGGGCCCTGGCTCCGGCTGCGAAGGCTCCGGCTGTTTGGCTGGATGTTGGGGGGGCTCTGCGCGCGGATGTAAGTGCCCTTGCCCTGGCATGGAAGAGGCTCGAGAGACTCTTGCCTTTGTGGGTGGCTCTTAGAATTGATCAAACAACCATGGCAAATGCGATCTCCCCGTCATTCTTATCGGCTACCACCCAGCCTTCCCTTAAGAGCCCCATTCCAAACGCGGGCAAAAAAATCCTCGTCACCAAGCTCAAGGACCCGTAGCAAGGCCTTCCGCATTGGGAAACCAGACTCAAGAGAGTTTCCTGGAACTTCTCCTTCCCTGCCTCAAGAGGCCGATCTTAGGTCACGAGAGTTGGCCGCCCAAGCGACATGCTTGCGCCCGACATGGAACACCTCACATGGAACATCTCAACACAGCAAAACTCTCGAAAGGGCAACGGGTGCGCGAAAGCCCGATCCAGCTCTTGCCAATGCGACCTTCTACGTGCGTGTGCCAGGAAGGTGTGGCAAACACGTCCAGACACGGACCTTGAAGCCCCGCGGCAAAAAAGTACCGAATGCATCTGTAAAACCCCTGCCGTACTTCGCCCCATTTCCAAGAGTCTTATGGGAAAGGGCTCCGTCATACCTACTTTTGTGCCCACAATACCCCCTCCCCCAGATTGAAACCTCAAGCGAGGGCTAGCTTTCAAGGCAATGCCGCACCCATCCCTGGGCAGCGGCAGCACATTGGCAGGGTCGAGGCGCTTGGAAAGACATGCTTGTCACTGACTGCATGTCCATGTATGCTGGTTCAGGCAGTGTTTAACAGCGTTGCACATAATGATGCCGCTGATCCTGACAGCACCCAATCTTCCTTTGGAATGTTAGCAACATGTGTGCTTTGCACCCCTTGACTTGACATGTACAAGAAGAAGTCTCCACCCAAACACAAGGGGGCCCTTCAATACATACAGCGACCGCGAGGGGGAAACATCTGGGAACGGATAGAAGGTAGGCCCCCCAATCCATGCATTTCTCAGTAGTCCTGTGTTTTCAGCAAACAGAAATTTTAGTGGGACATGTCATGGAACTCCTCTAAACACTACATGGCTGTGGCTCAAAAAACCGGTACCAAAATGGAACCGTGGTAAGTTGAAACCTGGACCAAACCTGAAAGCTTCAAGCCTGAACCGGCTCCGTGGCTTCGCCCACGCGACCTGCCTCTGAGCTGCGACACCTCGGCCTCCAGGTCTTGCAGTCGTGACAGCAAGGCCTTCCGGCGAGTCTGGTTTTTGGGGATGCCCCCAAGCTAATGGCCAAACATGACTTTGTCCTTTGGCTGAAGGGAAAAATGTATTCATGCGAGGATGGGTATCAAGGGGGGAAGAACTAGGACCTGAGGCAAAATGCAATCATTTGTAGAGTTTCAATTAAGCTGCCTCTTTTGTGGCGCCATGTTTTGTCGGCAACTTGTTGGGACCTCCAAAACAGCCATGCAACCAAAAGGTCCCCAACCCATCCACCTCCCACCCCCGCACCAACCCCCACTGGACGGCCACGCCTCTGACGCCAGGCCTGAGACGCAAGGGGGCCAGCAGGCTGGGCACTTCCCTTTTGATGGCCCAAACAAAGTCGCCCTAGACGGTTTTTATATTTACCACGAAAATTGCATCCAAACCCAAAAGGTGACTGAAGTCCGGGAACTCAGGAAGTGAGGTTTTAGGGCCCCCTCCACAATTTGGTGGTTTTCCAGTTGGTTGCTCTTAAAAAGGCAACAAGCACAAACAACAAGTACCCTCAAAAGAAGTCACGAACAAGAATCACAAATCAGGAGATTTCACAATGGGTGAAACGCTGAGCTTGTTGACCCCCAGAGTTTGCCATCTTGTTCGTGCTGATTTGTGGAATTCAATAAGACGCTGTCCTGTTCAGGTACATCCCAATCAGGATTCCTCCTCCCCTTTCAACAAAAACAAAAAGAAACTCGAATAAAATGACTAAAACTGGCAATCTGACGCTGACACCAAACAGTGGCATACAGTATCGTTGTGGGGGCAGGGGGTAGTGGAAATTGGTCAAAATTCGTGTGCCCATTCGTGGGGCACCTCAACCCTTGGCATGTGACTGCCCATATCCGAAGCCAGGAAAGCCGGGCGTCTTCCATAGGAACAGCGCAACCGTTTCAGCTGCCGGTTCTTCTGGGTTGTCCCAAAACAGCTTGGAATGGTGTCTTTGTTCCTTGGGAGGGGAGAACCAAGGCACACAAAGCCTCACCTCCTCTGCATCAGGTAGAACCTGCAAGCCTCAAGGAAACCTCCGCAAAAAGGAACTCACTTTCCTGCGTGGGTTGGCCAAGACTTAAGCGACCAATGGCCTTGATGTCCCACCAAACTGGCCACCAATCCCCCAAAAGTGACAAAGAAGAAGCTCCGAAGCCCCTGGTTTCAGCACCCCGGCCCGGGAGATCCACAGCCTCGGGGCCAAGGAAGGCGCAGGGAGACGACTTCACCTAGGTCACCTAGGTGCAAAAAAGAGACGTCACCTAGGTCACCTAGGTCACCAAAGAGGAGCAACAAAAGAGGAGCAAGAAGTCACCTCCTGCACCTCCAACAGGCTACATTCCTTATGGCTTTACCAAACTAGGTCCGCCAGTAGAGAGGTTAGAATCAAGGTACCAACTTTTTCTGTAGTCTGTTTTAGTAGGGGACCCCCGCCCCCCCCAAAAAGGGGAAGGGCACTACTGGGGGACCTGGAATACAACACTGGCCAAACCCCCCTGCATAGAACTGACTTGACCTTGTTCCTGCTGGCGCGCTCGGTAGGGAATGACTGACCGAGACCCGGTGTTGCAAATGAATCGGTTTTGGGGATTCCCTGAAACAAATCGCAGGGGATTGTTGAGAGGGGTCATTCCATTTCTCATTCTCTGCTGAGCACCAGCAAGAGGAACAAAAAGAAGAGCAAGAAGACTAAGAAGAAGAAGGAGAAGAAGCAAACCAACAAGGAGGAGCGACAAAAAGAAGCAAAGCACAAACACACCACTAACAATCAACCCAGCTCGCAAGAGCAGCTAAGGGGGAATGCTTTTTTTACCATGCATTCCACAAAGGTTGGAACCTATTCCGCAACAGGGCCTAGGGCCTGACATACTATGTTTTGTTTGTGTTCTCACCCCGGAGGCTCCTTGCCACAATCTCAGCTCAGCTTCCCCAACAAAAAAGCGCTGTGAAAAGGCCGCCAACGTTGGGGTTTCTATGGTTTCCCCCCAATCCAACTTTAGAACGGAAACTCGCTGAAATCTATGAACCCAACACCCCATCAGCCGAGAAGTTGCAAGAGAAGCTGAAAAAACTTCTCGAGACTCTTTGGTTTTGTAGTCCCTTTGAGGGTACCCGTTGGTTGGTTTCAAGGGAAGCCAAAAGGAAACCGCAAACTGGTGGGGTTGCCCAGTCGCCCCTGCTCTTTGGATCCCCGAACATCATTCAACCATTGGACACTGGAAAAAGCGCCGTGCAACAATCCAGGCTTTACCTAGTCCGGTAAGGAAACGAGTCTACTCAGAAGGGATTTTCACTTTCCAGAAAGCCTTGCTTTTCCTCCCACCATGGGAGGGGTGAACCATACTCCGCCATCCAGCCCCGGAACCCATCGATTTCTCCGCCGCTCGCAGCGGGTTTCTCGCGCCGGCATGGGCTTCAGGAAGCTAGGGGAAGCCTGAGGTTCCGTAGGGCGTGCAATGGTCCTTCTGGTAAGTTCAGATATCACCATCACAACGGTTGGGTTTGATTTATAACCAGTCCATCATTTACCCTTCACCCCTTGGGCCATTCTGTTCATGGGGGTTGAACCTAGGGTCTAGTCTGGTAAGTTCATGGGGTTCCGAATTAAGGTATGCACTCCGTGCTTCGACGCAAACGCGATGACCAGAAGGCGGCCCGGGCCCGAATCGGTGAGGTTTTCGGAACAGCGTCTTCAGGCCACCTTGCCCGGACATGATTCTGTCAGGGAAGACCGGGCCAGCAAACGCTACCCGGCGCCCGATCCCGCACAGTGAACTGCTTTCTTTGCAGCTCTCGAGCCCAAATGCAGAGGGTTGAGGGTTCTGGAAACTACCTTTTGGTTGATGGCATAAAGACAAACCCTCTTATGGCCGATATGTGCGACACTTTTAGGGATGGGCAAGCCGGGCAAGCCACGCAAAACGGATTTAGAGGATGCCACTGAACAACTTGACTCGAACTGAGGCAAGAGCGGAAAGGCCACTGCAGCAACTGCAGTTCACAGTTCACAGTCGCTTCATTCGGATAGCCGCAATGGCGCCTAGAACCTCCGGTGAAACCAGGAAGACAGCAAGTCTGCGAAAGACTTCTTGCCACGGCAGCTGAGTCAGAATAAACGCCTGGCACTCAAGAGTCCGCTCCACGAAGGTGTGTGAATCAGCTATCACGGCCGGCTTTCTGCCGCTCCCATTTCTGGGGTGGCTGCGCCCTAATCTTCACACGGTTGCTCCCATTCACCCAACAGGTTTTCAACATATTTGGAACCCTTTTCGGTGGGTGGACCATTTGTAGCGTCCCGAACATTCCCGAATCCACCAAGCAAAAAGACAGAAGAGGATGCCCTTGACCGGCTGGGTTCACGTTTACGCGGCTCAGCTGCGGGCAGATCTAAGGGCGTTGGCGGCATTGGCCGGATCCGGGATAGTTGCTGAGCATCAAGCCCCACCCGCCGAGTTGTCCAGCAGTAGAGAGGTTATAGAATAAGGGTACCCCTTTTTCTGTAGTCTATTTTAGTGGGGGAACCCTCCCTCAAAAAAAGGAGCACTACTGGGGGACCTTGGTTTAACAACACGTTCACTAGAAATGGACCTTGGGGTTCCATGATCAAAGCCCGGTTGGATAGAACATAGCCATGTCAGGCGTGGTTTCCCATCCTTCGGAGCAAGTCTCTGGCTGGGGAGCGACGTGTCTCCGCTGCAAAGCCTCCGCATTCTCGCAGTTTGCTCAGCCCCAGTTTGTGTCCGCAGGCTCCTGGCAAAGGGGCTCGGGGGTGGACCAGCGGCAACTATTAGGTAGGTATGTGTCTCGGGGCCCCCAAAATAAGTGTGTCTCCTGTTGGTTTCCCTTAGCCAACTCCAAAAGGCAACGAGTGCCTGGAGAAAATCGGGGGCGACCATTTTAGAAAAACCAAAAACCGAGGCAAACAGAGTGCCACTGCCCCCAGCCAGTTCTCCAAACATGTACTGTTTCGCCATGTTCTTGGACCAAAGTGACTCGAACGGGCGGGCGGAAGGAAGGAAGGAAGGAAGAAAGGAAGGAAGAAAGGAAGGAAGGGAGGGAGGGAGGGAAGGAAGGAACGATGTAGTTCCATGTTTTGTGGGAGATATGGAGATTTAGAGAATGGGAATCCACTGCGCTGGGAGATACGGAAGGCTATGCCCACAAAATTTACTCCTGAGCGACATGAAACCCAAAGCACCATCGTTAGCTCGCATTACCGGACCCGATTTGGGGGATTCTGTATGTTCATGCGGGGCGTACTTCACCTAACCTGGAAGCCATGTGGTTACCCTTTCCCTGCCTCTGACTAGCAGCATCCTCCGGATTGCCCCTTTCAAACAACACGCCAATATCACCTCTTAAAGAACTTTGCCACTGCTCAGGCAGCAGACGCACTGTTCTAGCGCGATTCGCAGGGACACTAACTATATACATGCCCCCCAGCGTTGAATACCCTCCCAACCAGGAGGAACCAAACACATCAGTTGGTGGCTTATCAGCATTCAAAAGGTTTCATCCATTCCAAGTGATGCCAGGATTGTGTGCGACGAAACCAGGTACGGACTAGAAAAGCCATCACTGAACCATCGCAGCTCGCTTTCGGCGAATCCACGGTGCCTGAGCATCTTCCGCTGGATTCGCGCTGCCATCTTCAGCCTAAAGACTCGGCCCCCACTCCCCCTGAAAACGGTGGAACAGAGCGGGAGAGCCTAAATTGCCCAAGGGCTGCGGCTTGTTAAACTTCAAAACGCGCAGGAACGCCGGGGAATGGTCCTGTTTAGCTTTACCTAGCTTTATTTAACTTTGTGGCTTCGCTGCTTTTTTCGTACGCACGATCTCATTGCCACGATAGACATCGCGTACTGTCTTTCGACTGTGGTGGGGGCATGTGCAAATTGCGCTTGGGAGGGTTTCTGGGCATCTTCTGGGGCTGGATTCCATCCCCTACGTCAGTTGACTCAAATAGGTGTGGCCCACACCTCTTTCCAAAACGGTGCTGCATACCACTGTTAATGTCCCCACAATAAAAGACAGCGATTTGGCACTATGGGAGGCGGTTGATGCAATTTGGGGTAACATACTCAAAGGAGAGGGAAACACAGTTTTGTCAACAACGGGGGAACCCGGGACCTTAAAAGGAACGAACCCCTCCGTGACTGCGACCTCTCCCTTAACCTTGGGGTTAGCGCGAGCAACGCGCTGTTTTCAGCACTTGAGCCAAAGCAGTGATTGGATCATGCTCTGGCATTGACTTGAATGTACAACATGCAACTGACTACATGAGAACCTACCTCATGTACCTCTGGGCCATAAATGTCATCGTGATAATTGACTCCCCCCTCATTGACGGCACTGAGGGAGTGTCTTGGGCGCATTACCACGCCAACTTGAAGTCAAGTTTACATCACAACGACTGACGCAAGTTATTCAAGCATCGCCCAGGCACTTTGCACACTTTTGGAAATTTTGCGGACATGCTGCAGCGCACTAGGCAGCTGCTTTAGCGGCTCTACTTTCACGAACGTCTTCAAGCTTCTCTGGAAGGTCAACACGAATGCCGAGCAACCGGATGGCATGGTCCCACTTGTTGGGTGGAAGTGCTTTCGTGAAGATGTCTGCTGACTGCATGTCGGTTTGGACGTATTCTATCGAGATGTGTTCGCTTTCAAGCTGCTCTGCGATGCACGCGAGGTTCACCTTGTGCGTTCGCTGGACACAGCGTAGCTTGGATGAGAAACCTTTTCTCGCTACGAGGATAGTCGCCTGATTGTCCTCGTGGATCTTGAGATGGAATGGTCGGTCCAAGATCAGCTCCCACAAGCTGAGCGCAGGAAGCGCCTCCTGGTAAAGGGATCTCCGCCTCGGTTGTCGATCGGGAGACCGAGGTCTGCCTTTTGGACACCCACGCAAGTGGAAAATGCGTGTGCGGACCACTCAAAACCAAGAATCCTCCGGACGTGGATTTTGCGTCTCGTTCTCCAGCGAAATCGGCGTCCACATAGAGAGACAGATGCAAATCCTCAGTCGAATCTTGAACTGTGCCTACTAGCGTGCTGTTGACCGTGCTGTTTATGTAGCATACAAGCCTATGTAGCTGCTCATCGCAGTTTCTAGACCATTTCTGAACAAATGAGGCAAGGTCGCCAATGGGCTTGACCAGGTCTGGGCGTGCCAAACGGCCGAGCCATAAGGCTTTCATCAACACGCGGCAAGCGGCGAAGCCGAGCTCACCCTCCAAGGCGTCATCTGCAGGATCAAGGGATCCAGCGGGACAGAATGGAGTGGTGGCATCACGCAACTTTTCACTTTTCAGCTGTGCAACCTCAAGATATAATGCCACCGTTTGACGGGCATAATCCCGCATGTCGAACGCCATGCCCCCTTTCAATCTGCCCATTGCGGCATTAAGATCGGGTTCAGTTGGGTCCTTTGGAGCATCTATCAAAAGGTGGTTCCTGCCTAGCACCCGATATATGTCTTCTGGGGGTTCTATATCAACCAGTCTTGTTAACTTTCCCAGAAGTCTTTATGAAGGTGGCTGGGGCCGGCCAACGTCAAGTCGTCGACGTATGTCGAGAGAAGTAACCCGGACTCCTTGAACCAGAAGTTTCCAGGAAACTCTGCGACCTCACGCCCTCCAAGTTCACTAATGAACCCTTTGAGGTGTGCCTCCCAGAGTCCGCCAGCGTCAGGATGCCCATAAAGAGCTTTAACGAGCAAAACCACAGGTTTCACGAAACGCTCGCGCCACCACCTTGGCCGGAGCTCAGGCGGGAGTGTGATCCAAGTTTGGTACTTGGACTTCAGCAGTGCTTGCACATAAGCCTTTATAGCGTCCGCTGTTGTGGTGGAATTCCCTGGCAGGGATCCATAAGCGAGACAGTTATTAAGACCTTGTACGCTCGTGGGATTTGCTCCCAACTCTTGGTAGACAGCTGCTGCGCCATGTTCGTCTTTCGCACAGTCTCCGCGATACACAATCCTACCTTTCATCTTCTGAAGGTGTTTCGCGAGTTCGGCGAACTTGACGGATGCTAGCGACATCAACTGCCCGAAATGAACTTTTATACTGGATCGTCGCGCCTCAGCGGCGACTTGATCATATTCTCGGACTGAATTTAGATCCCAAGCACCGGCTTTCTCCAGGCCTGTGGCTTCAAGTCGAACGGCTTCAGGGGCTTCCGGGGAAGCCAACATTTCGGCACGTGACAAGAGTCTGGTCACCATTGCGGTGATCTCAGGATCCTTCTTCTCCTTGACTTGTCCTAGGGAATGTGCGATGAGATTTTCAACATCAAGAACTTGTTCAAGGATGTCGTGACACTTTTCATCGGACTCAACAGCAAGACCTATATCTTCCAAACCAGAGAGAGGGGATATGTGTTTCAACTGTTGCTCACGTTCCCGGTGATCGAGAGGCAATGGCACTTGGACAGGCATCGCAGGCACAACGGGTTGAACTGTCGGATACAGCGCACGGGCAACTGTGAGACACATGCCTTCGGGGTAGAAAGCGGTCTTTGCGGTCTTGTTACCTGCTGCAAGCGAATGTTTATACCCTTTTTCGTGCGGACACTTGAATGCACCTAGCGCGGATGCGAGTGTGCTATTGCTGGTCATGACTTTCCATGGCTTCTTGATGGGATAGCCATTGCTGTCCTTCAGACCTAGGGCGCAACCGTGGAAGGTCGCTGGGGTGAAGACGTGTGCGTATTCCCTAAAGAATGCAGAAACATCATCCCTAGCCCAGCTGTCGCAATCCCTTGGCCACTCAAACGAAACACTACCCCCCTGATGGAGGACAGTCTCTGCGTGACGTCTGAATCTGGAGAACAACTCTCTCGACTCTCTAACCTTTTGCTTCAGTTTCTTTTTGAACTGGCTTCCTAACTTGGCCTTATTAAGGCGTTGCCATGCTGAACCTGATGTACAGGGAATTGCAGCCCAGAGATTGGGTTTATCACAACCTTCAATCTGCGACTGCAACTGGATTTCTCCTTCATCTGTGCTAAGGTCGATAAACTCTTTAGCCAGCCTAACATGAGGTATGCCTAGACCTTCAAACACGCGACCCATGTTGGACTCTGGTGAACATGCGTATTCGAACATCACAGGCAACTTGTCAATGCGTGCTTGTCTCTTGCGTGCACGATGATTTCCGACCTCAAACTGCTTGCGCTGTGGAGCTTCAACCTCTGCGCTGCACGGCATGCCAAAAATTGGCAATGTGTTCGGACGACCGTTCTTTGACGCTTCGGTGAGAGGTGTCGGCGGTACGGAGTCTAACATCACGGCTGCACCTGTGGTGATAACACAATCGGACTGAATGGGTTTTAACTTGAACACTGTGAACCCGGTCCATGCATCTCCAAGTGAGCGATTGGGTCGGAAACCAACCATCATGGATGTTGTCTGCTTTGCCCCCCTGAAACACGGCACGAGTGGTGCGAGCTGCAGTAAATCTTTCTGGGGAAACGGGGCAATCCTCGACCTCTTTTGGAGTAAAAAGATTCTGCCTTGGCATGATATGGTATCGAACCAAACAGTTGGCATTTTCTTTGAACACCCAAAAATCTTCACCTTGCGATGTAGCGGCTGTCGCTGGCGCGGTATCGAAAAATGAGCCACCGGGTCTTGAGGGAGCGGGCTCCCCAGCTTCGGCTGCACCAAATTCATGCGCAACATCTTCTGCACTAACTGCGGTCTTAGGATCTTCCTCATGCTCGGATGCGTGGATTGCTCTGGCTAGCTCCTCATCCCCTTCAGTATGAACAATGGGAATGGGTTCCTTAGATTCAGTTTTGGCAGCGCTTTTTGCAGCTCGATCTGCAGAAACAAGTTCGGAGAACCTCTTCTTGCATTCGGCACTGTGAATCTTGGAATGACCGGTACATGCACGGCAACCTGGCGTTTCCTTGAACTTGATGATCCTCTCAACAGTTATGTACACGGATTTTGACTTGACAGCGGATGGAGTCGGTGGGGCACCAAAGGGCGCCTCTCGCAGGGGCAAAGGTGGGGGGTCAGACCCTTCTGTCTTGCCACCATGCAATGCTCTATCTGCTGCTGCTGCAATCGGAAAGCTTGGGGGTCCGTCTTCAACGAACAATTCCGGTTCAGGGACATCGTGAACGGAAATGGAACCATCTTTGCGGAAGGCTTCATAGTCCATGACTTTGACCACGTTACGGTACCGCAACCCCGGATCGATCCTCCAACCCAAAAAGAGCCATGGCGCCATGTTCGGATCGAGAGTGCGCTTGCCAGGAGTCTTGGTTCTGTACCAAACCAGTTGCCCAAAACAGCATCTCTTACCTTGGAACTTTTCCTTGGTGAGGGCTTCCCATTGGGTTTTCCCTGGGCTGAATGGTGCAGGCCTGTCGAACGACATGGAGAGACATGCAAATGGGTAACTAAACGTATGCAACGAATAGGGCAACCCTGATTGCAAGTGGATGCTGCGGCAGCATTCCTTCTCTTCGCGAATGTCGCGCTCCAGAACGGTGTTGTGTGGCCACCTGTTCGGTAAGCTTGTCTCGGGGACGAGACCGACTTCGTGGGCCGCTCCTTCGAGCTCTCCTGCGGCATCCATTTTTACTAGACATGTTGGCGGCGAATCAGTGGCCCGAAGGCCCATGAACTGACGGAAGTTTTTG